AACTGGAAGCATTCCCATTGAAATCAGGAACCAGACAAGGCTGTCCACTCCACTTCTCTTTAACGTAGTGCTTGAAAGTCTTGCAAGAGCAATAAGAGAAGAGCAGGAAATTAAAGGAGTAATAATTGGAAAAGAAGAGATTAAATTATCCCTTTTTGTAGATGACATGATATTACATCTCAGAGATGCCAAAAATTCCACCAGAAAACTCCTACAAGTTATTAACATGTTCAGTAAAGTGGCAGGTTACAAAATTAACCTACAAAAGTCTGTAACCTTTCTCTATACGAATAACAAGCAATCAGAACAAGAGCACATGGAAACACTCCCCTTCACAATAGGTGCAAAAAAAAAAAAATATCTCGGAATAAACCTGACCAAAGACATCAAAGAGCTCTACAATGAAAATTTTAAATCTTTAAAGAAAGAGATTGAGGAAGATATCAGAAGATGGAAGGACCTCCCATGCTCATGGATTGGAAGAATTAATATTGTGAAAATGACCATCCTACCAAAAGCCATTTGTAGATTCAATGCAGTGCCAATCAAAATCCCCATGGCATTTTTCGCAGAATTGGAAAAACCATCCTAAGATTCATATGGAAGCACAGAAGACCTCGGATAGCCAAAGCTACCCTGAGCACTAAGAACAATGCTGGGGGGATTATTATACCAGATACTAAACTGTATTCCAGAGCCATAGTCATAAAAACCACATGGTACTGGCACAAAAATAGACCCATAGATCAATGGAACAAAATTGAGACCCAAATATGAGTACATTCAATTTCAGTCACTCGATATTTGACAAAGGGGCCAAGAATATACACTGGAGGAAAGACATCATGTTAAGCAAACCGTGCTGGCAAAACTGGATTTCCATGTGTAGAAGAATGAAACTAAACCCCTATTGTTCACTTTGCACAAAAGTCAACTCCAAATGGATCAAAGACCTTAATGTGAAACCTGAAACTCTGAAATTGTTAGAAGAAAACATTGGCAATAACCTACAAGATATAGGTGTAGGAAAGGGGTTTTTAAACCGGACATCAGCTGCCCAGGAAACAAGGTCAAGAATCAACAAATGGGTCCTCATTAAACTCAAAACTTCTGTACGTCAAAAGAAGCAACCAAGGAAATGAAGTGAAAACCCAAAGAACGGGAGAAAATCTCCACCAGAGACATGTTTGACAGAGGTTTAACATCCAGAATATATAACGAACTCAAAAACCAAAGTATCAGGAAAGGAAGTAACCAAATTAAAAGATGGGCTAAGGAACTGAACAGAGAATTCCCTAAAGAAGAAATAAAGATGGCTAAGGAGCATTTTTAAAAGGTGTTCAACATGACTAATAATTAGGGAAATCCATATTAAAAGCACTTTAAGATTTCATCTTACCTCAGCCAGACTGGCTAAGATCAAGAGAGCAAATGGTACCAAATGTTGGAGAGGATGTGGGGAAAGGGGAACACTCATTCATTGCTGGTGGGACTGCAAACATGTTCAACCCGTATGGAAAGCAGTTGAGAACTCTTAAAAAACTACAAATGAACCTACCATTTGACCCAGTTATACCACTCCTTGGCATATACCCGAAGAACTTATCCTATTGCGGAGACACTTGTACATCCATGTTTGTTGCTGCTCTTTTCACAATAGCTAAGAGATGGAAGCAACCTAAGTGTCCCTCAATTGATGAGTGGATAACGAAAATGTGGTTCATTTATACAATGGAATTTTACTCAGCAGTAATGAAAGATGAAATCATGGAATTTTCAGGTAAGTGTATGGAACTAGAAACATCTATTAAGTGAAGTAACACAGACTTAGAAAAAAAAATACCACGGCATATGTTCTCCCTCATATGTGGATCCTATCACAAAATCCTTATAAGTGAATATGTATCCTGACATAACTGCAGTAACTAGGATAATGAAGAGGAACCAGGGAAGTAAAGGAAAAGAAAGACTCTGAAAGAGAAGAACAGTAGAAAATGGGTGTTATCAAAGGAGATATGAATAATAATGTGGTTATTTTAAGGGGCAAGGGGAGGGAAGGTTATATAAAGAACCTAGGTGATAAAGGGAAAGAAGGAGCTCAAGAGAGGTGGGACCATAGGCGAAGGGTATTAGCAAGGGAGAAAAAGGAAAAATGAGGTCACTGTAAATGGGGAAACCATGGATTGAAATTGAAAGGTTAGATAGTGTGAGAGATAAATAATGCCTAGCTAGTTTTAGAAAACTGAAGGGAACCATATTAGGCAAACAACCTACTGACAAATTATATATATAGTCAGTTCAAAGACTGTAATGTATGTCTAGGCAAAGTTTATCTGAGAGCATTTGGTCTTTCTCCAAACTCTATCTACATGTCATATGTTAATTTAAAGTACCAGACTGGTGGAACTAACCTTCTTGGATGTTTAACACTCATACTTTGAGGTCTATACTAATTTGGTCAGGGGGACATAAAGGAGAGTTTTTGCTCCTTGCCCTTCTAGGTTGACTCAGTTCCAGGGTACTATGAGCATCTCTCAAAATGTCCTGTTACTGTGGTGAGTCACCTGTCCTCTTGATCAAGGAGGCCATGGAGACCCCACCAGATGGACCTGAACCAGTGTCCAGTCTACAAAGAGGAGGGTCAACACAGAGGAAGCATTTCCTCCATGCTTCCCAGTGAAGCCAGCCATGGTTGAGAAGGACCTTTGACTTGTCTTCACATAGACGGAACAGGTAAAAGAAAGGAGCCAGGGCCTCCTTCCAAGCCCATGTGACCCCTGAGGAACAGATCCTCAAAGAGCCTTAACAGTAAAAAATAAATTTGCTTATCTGGGCCAACTGTAGGGTCTTAAACACCCAGAAGGAAAGTATAACCAAAGATTAATGGGGTCAATATAATTTTTTGAGTCCATATGTATACCTAAAGGCTACATAACAAGAAACAATGCCAGAGAGGAGATACCTTCCTTCCTTTGAGTTATTGACCAGAGTGGCCCAAAAGACTCCCAGACAGTAATCCATCATAGAACTGGGAAAATTATCAGCAGACCCCAATCTTTTCTAAAGGAATATTGACAGCTAATTGCTGCTAGATGAGGAACAGGTGATCTTTCTAAAACAAGGATCTCTAGATAGGCAGACTAGATTCAGCAGATGGACAAGCACTGGAGAATGCCTGGGGATGTCGACAACACAGTAGACAGTAACAGGGATGACAGAGTATATGGGCTCCACTGTGTGGGAGGGGGTGGCTATGGGAGGGTGCCATTTGGGAAGTGGGTATATCGATGAATAAGACAGTGTGGGATGTTCTGTATCATATACACACAAAAAAATCAACAAATTAAAAAAAGATATATTTGAGGAGGAAGCATAAAAATTTACTTCATGTTAAGTAGTAGATGTGATATACATTACCAGTGAAAGCTACCTGATGACTTTATATCCATTCTCAGGTACTAAGGATCCGAGTATAACTGACTGTGACTCATAATCATCAGATACATAGAGATTAAAGACACATGTGCAAACATCTAAGTATTTGTGGCATTAAAAATGTAGGAAACAGGATATTATAAAATGAAATGGAGATTTTCTTTAAAGGGTAAAAACTCATTCAATTTTATGTTTTACAGGGTTTATACTGAGTTCAATTTTGTATAATTGTATTAATTCAACAGTGAACCTAAAAATTTACAGCCACTTTTGAAAGAGATGTATCCTTGCTCTGGAGTATGTTACTGAATATGTTAAAGTTGTAATGAAATAAATCATGTGGTTATTAAATTTTTAAAAAATTAAAAACATTCTTCAAAGTATAAAAATTTGCTCCTTAATAATTAGTAGATGTGAAAAACATTACCATTGAAATCTACCTGATTACTTTATATCCATGCTCAGATGCCAGGGATCTCAGACAGTAACCGACTGTGACTAGTAATAGTTAGATATATAGAGACTGGAAATGCATGTGCAAACATCTTAGTATTAATTGCATTAAAAATGAATTTTTATGTATAAAACTGTATTTTAATAATGAAATGGAGATCTTTTTTAAAGATTAAAACTTCATTTAATTTTATGTCTTATAGGGTTTATACTGAGTACAATATTGTATAACTGTAATAATTCAACTGTAAACCTAAAAATTTACAGCCAGTTTTGAAAGAGATGAGTCTTAGCTCAGGAAATTGTTATTGAATATATCAATGCTGTTGTAATGCAATGCTTCTCCTAATTATGTGGTTATTAAATAAATAACTTTAAAAATTGTAAAAAAACCTTCTCTGCATACCTTATTCAACATTTATCTGTGTTAATGTGTCCAATTATCTCATTAGTATCAATGTACAGAACCAGAATTATAAGGTCAGAATGTGAGACTTTTTAAAGCTTATCCCATGTATTGTTGAATGGCTTGCAAAGACAACTATACCAGTGTAAATTTCTACAGCCCTCTGTAAGAAGTCTCATGTGCCTCCATCCTAGCTTACAGTATATTATTTTTTTTATAATATTGTCTTTTTTAATGAGCAACACCTGTCACATTAGTTTGCATTCTTATATGTGTGCTTATTGAAATTTCTTATTTTATAAACATAACACTCATATGTTCTGTTTTCACATCAGTTTTTGCTTATTGACTATAAATGTACTTTATATATTAAAGACATTAATACTTAAATTTAAAAAAAACCAAAAATTTACTATGGTGCTATCATGATTTAACTTGTGGAATTCTGAAAACAATGGTTTCAATCTCCCTTTTTAAACTTTTCATATGAAATATTTTCTAGGTTATAAGGACTCATGGAGCTCTGTCCCCAGTGACTTTGCGTTGGAACATAGACTCTGATCTGGATGGGGATCTTGCCATTACCTCTGGCAATGTCACCTTTGAGACTGGGCAGAGGGTTGCCCACATCGCAGTGGAAATATTGCCAGATGAAGACCCAGAGCTGGACGAAGCATTCTCTGTGTCAATCCTCAGCGTCTCCAGTGGCTCTTTGGGGGTTCTTACTAATGCCACATTGACAGTTTTGGCCAGTGATGATCCTTATGGAATATTTATTTTTTCGGAAAGAAATAGACCTATTATGGTTGAAGAAGCAACCCAAAATGTCACATTATCAATAATAAGATTTAAAGGCCTCTTGGGAGAAGTTGTAATCTCATATGCAACTGTAGATGATATAGAAAAACCACCTTATTTTCCACCTAATTTGGCTAGAGCAACTCAGCGAGGAGATTATATATCAGCATCTGGATTTGCTGTTTTCAGAGCTAATCAGACTGAAGCCACAATATCTATTTCCATTTTGGATGATGATGAACCAGAGAGGTCGGAATCTGTATTTGTTGAACTACTCAATCCTGCTTTAGTAGAAAAAGTACAGATTCGTCCAAGTAAGTATCCACTAATATTTTACTATTATTTTAGAGATAAGACTATCAAAATGACAAACTTAAAATTGGATATGATAGAACCCTCTATAAAAATAACAAGTGCTAACATTGAGAACATTGCTTTATAAAGTTTGTCTGTAAAACAACTGCAAGTGCGACTTATTTTTTCCCCTGGAAATCATATTTTAAAAGATAGTTATGTTTTCAGAGTAAATTTTGCAAGCTTTGTGTAATCTATGTGATCCCTAGTGCTGTATTGTTGCTTCAAAATATTCTAGAATCAATCTGGAGAGTTCAAACATACTTCACGTAGCAAGAGTCTGACTTTCACATTGATACACTTCTGAAAGATTTCCTAACCAATAAAAGTTTCTTTATTGGCAAGAAATATGCGTGAGGGGAGGGAAATGGCTGTACCACAGTAAGAAACTGAGAATGTGTGGAATTGTGTAGCCTAGAGTGCAAGGTTCTGAGATCTGTGTGTTACTGTATTCTGCCATATGGATTAAGACCTCTTTGTTTTTTTAACTTTATTTATTTATTTTATGTATATGAGTGTGTTGCCTGCATATATGTAAGTGCACCTGGGCCAAGCAGTGCTCATAGAAGTCACAAGAGGGCCTGGAACTGGAGTTATGGATGGATGGTTGTTAGCCACCATGTGGATGATGGGAATCGAACCCAGGTGCTTTGCAACACCAGCCAATGCTCTTAACTGCTGAGCCATCTCTCCAGCCCAGATTAAGACCTCTTACCAGCAAGTTCATAGGGTGATCCACAGGCTTACTGACAAAAATAATTGTAGATGAGGATTATAGAAGGAACTTTACAGTTAACAAATCTTTAATTTAAAATTTTTTTAAAAATAAAATATCACTAATTTTAAATTTTATTTATTTATTTTTGAGACAGTACCTCCCTGTAGCCCTAGCTGGCCTGAAACTCCCTATGTAGACCAGGCTGGCCTTGATCTCACAGAAATCTGTCTGCCTCTGCCTCCTGAGTGCTACTAGGATTAAAGGCGTGTGCCACCATGCCCGACACTATTCTTTTTTTTTTTTTTTAGATGAGTAAGTTTGTTTTATTTCACTTTGCAGTTTGGTATAGTGCATGCTTTAGAGTCCGGGGTGTGCTTCAGGCAGAGTATACTGTAAAGAATTTCACATTCAAGATTGCTCAGGGCTTCAGGGGAAGGTGTTTCTGATGGACTTTGGCATAGATTGGATGGACCCTTTCACTGTTTCTTAATACCTTTTACCAAGAGCAAAGGAGCCATATGTAAAGTCTCATGAGATACATTAACAGCAGCCACTCAAAGATATATTTGTCTTTCTTTTAAAAATTGAGACTGGAACTTGCTATATAATCCCAGCTGGCATGAGTTTACTATGAATCCCTGGTATGCCTTGAACTATTTGATCCTCTTGCCTCAGCTCCTGGACTAGCTGAGATCTCAGCAGTGCACCACTGTGCCCCACTCAGTAACTCATATTAGTCCAGTCCCAGATTATTCCAGTATTTACCTAAATAAAAGTAAGTTGTTTAAGTTTAATATGTATTTATTATGTCATTCAAAAATGTAATAAGATGTTTATTCAAAGATACATTTTCTTAGTATCTCTATACTAAAATCTTCTAAGAAATGCTCAGATGTTTATGGTGCAGGCGCGCTGGGCGCCCTGGCATGGTGTGCGCAGGCAACCTGGAGAGTTGCGGCGCGGGGATCGGTCCCCTGGTCTCAGCCGCGCGCCCTGGAAGAAGGCGGGTCTGGCCCCCTGCTGGAGCGTTGTCCAGCCGGGTCCCGCCCTTATTTCACCCGTGTACTTTCCTCAATATGCGAGTTCCACCGGCCGCTGGACCACGCGGGAAAGTATGAGGCGGCTAAAGCTGGGTGTCCGTGAGTCGATGACGGAGGAATGCTACCCCCCGGGGAGACTAGATTGCAGGCAGGAGACACAGGACTCAGCCCAGTCAGATTCAGTGTTACAGCTCTTTATTCCAAGTCTCAGTGACCCAGTTCCTGCTCTAGCTCCAGCTCCGCTTCTAGCTCCAAATCATTGAGAAGACTAGGATATTTTTATACTGTAGGGGCATTGGTAAAATCTTTAGCTGATAGGTATTTTGGGGATGCCTCATTTGCATGTGGAAATGGGCTCCCGCCAGGCTGCTAGACTGTCAGACTGCTTGAAAAATCACAGAGGAAAGCATGGTATTTCCAGAGCCAGAGGCCATGTTTTCTATGGCGGCTACTTCAAAGGAGAGTTAGGAAGATGCCAGGTACTCTGCTGAAAGCAGTCATCTGCATATGAAAACCGAGCCCGTGGGCCACCCGGACATGGAGAGACTATGACTTCACAGCAGGGGTCCCCAACAGATGTTAAATTTCCATGTTCACAACCAGATCTTCCCCTCTGAAAACGTATGTCCTAATTTGGTTTCTAAGCATTTCTGAGTGAAGGAGGACTAGTTGTTTCTACCTTCCTTCAACCAAATGAGAGCGTCTTCTCTAAATGCACATCAGTGCCTCAAGTTTCACATCACAGCTCACAAGATCCAGGGCCCCAGCTTATGCATACTACATAGAGTCCGTTTTGACACTGAGGAGAGCTCGTATATGAACCTCCAAATTCTAAAACAAAAGCCTGAAGTCCCATCCAGCCATTTATTGATCATCCTGATTCCATGTACATTTGTATTTAATCTATCTTTCCTTTTTTTCTTTCTTTCTTTTTTTTCAAATTTAATCCCAGTACTTGGAAGGCAGAGGCAGGTGAGTTCAAGGCCAGCCTGGTCTACCTAGTGAGTTCTAGGCTAGCTGGGGCTACAGGAAGGAGACTCTGTCTCAAAAAGACCACACACACACACACAAAAAGATAAAATCACTGTGGAAAACAGGCTCTGCTCAGAGTGTCCAAATAGTTAAACACCTAAGGCCACTACTCTTTTTTAAAGCAAGATCGAAGGTCAGTTATAACAACAGCAAAGAAATTAAAATGCAATATTTTGTCTTATTAAGAATTACAAAAGCCCTTGCTGGGGTGTGGTGGTGCACACCTTTATTCCCAGCCCGGGAGGCAGAGGCAGTAGGATCTCTGTAAGTTCAAGAGTTCAAGGCCAGCCTGGTCTACAGGACAGTTGGGGCTACAGGGAGACCCTGTCTTAAAAAAAAAAAAAAGAATTACAAAACCCAAATTGATTTTCAAGAAACTCACAACTTATTGAAGAGAAAATAAAACCAAAAGCAAGTATTGCATATAACAGTGATTTAGTCGTATTATGGGGATTAAATTTAATAATATATGTAAAAATTAATACAGTGTCTTTCTTATTGCAAGCATTCAATAAATGACCAATTATTAATAGAATGGCATATGGAGAGCACCTTCGTGCTGTTGGGAAGGGAATGGCAACCAACATGCATTTTATAATTGATACATTCTTGGCATTGTGCAACACACTTGTGCAGTTCAGAACAAGCAATGTGTTGGCTAAATGAAGAACAACTGAGTAAAAAATTGATGTGTGTGTGTGTGTGTGTGTGTGTGTGTGTGTGATAGCAACTCCACTTTAAATAGACAAAAGGCAGCGTACAGCCTGGTTAGACCCCAGTGTTCTACTCTGACTATAGTCATCAAGTTTTACAAATGAAAAGAGCAGTGTGGAAGACTGGCCTTTTGTTCCTGGGTTATGGTACAGAACAGGATCCCAGTCATAGTTAACTGAAAGTGATACATCTGTATTGCTGAGAATTTTACATAGGGAGGAAGAAGTGAGGCAAATATTTATAGTATGTTTCTTAGTTATGTCTGACAGGTACTAATATAAGACCTTAGGAAAGTTACTTAACTTCTTTATGCCACTAAGTCCTCATCTGCAGATGTGTGTATCTATGTACGTACGCATGCAATCCAAATATCTATACATATATATGAGCAGACAAAGAAAATATGGTGTGCCTGCACAATGGGATATTATTAAGCTATAAAGAATGAAATCCTGTTTGACAAAATGAATGGAACTAGACAATATTATAAGTGAAATAAGCCATGTTCAGAAATTAAAATGCATCTGGGCATGGTGGCACACGCCTGTAGTGCCAGCACTTGGGAGGCAGAGGCAGGCGGATCTCTGTGAGTTCAAGGCCAGCCTGATCTACATAGTGAGTTCCAGGACAGCTTGGGCTACAGGGAGACCCTGTCTCAAAAAGACCAAAAAAAAAAAATTAAAATGCTTCATAGTTTTATGGGGAAGCTTAGCTAGTTTATTTCAAAGGAAAGAACAGAAGTGGCAGTGATTACTAAAACCTGGGAAAAACAAGACAAGAGGGAGAGGAGGAGGTTGGATAACAGATGGCCAAATACAGTTAGATAGGAGGATAAGTTCTAGTGTTCTGTACTACGAAAGGATGGATATTGTTTGTACCTGCTCTTTGAGCTCAGTTTTATATTGGGATACTGCTTTTTATTTTTATTTTTAGTGCTGGAGTATTTTGCCTGCTTATATGTAGGTGCATAACATGGGTGCAGTGCTCACAGAGTCCAGGATAGGGTGTCAAATCCCCAGGAACTGGAGTTGCAGATGTTTGTTAGCCTCCATATGGGTGCTGGGAACAGAAGCAGCTAGTGCTCTTAACTGCTTAGCCATTTCTCCAGCCCCAGGGATGGCATAATGGAGAACCAGTTGGAAGAGTGTAATTCTGTTCATTATTATCTGTGTTAATGTTTTGTAAGTTGATGATTAATTATGCTTCGATTATTTTCTTTTTTGATAATTTCAAATACTTTTTTTTTTTAAAGACAGGGTCTCCCTGTAGCCCCAACTGGCCTGGAACTTGATATGTAGACCAGGCTGGCCTCGATCTCACAGAGATCCACTTGCCTCTGCCTCTGAAGTGCTGCGATTAAAGTCATGCACTACCATGCCTGACTCAAATACTTCTTTTTTTTAAAAAAAATTATTTTTATTTTATGTACATGAGTGTATTGCCTGCATGTATGTGAGTGCACCTGTGTCGTGCAGTGCCGTGGATGTCAGAAGAGGGTGTTGGATTCCCCTGGAGCCTGGAGTTAAGGACAGTTTGTAGCTGCCATGTGGGTGCTGGGAACCCAACCTGGGTCCTCTGCAAGAGCATTCAGTACTCTCAACTGCTGAGCCATCTCTCCAGCCTCTCAAATGCTTCTTAAGATATTCTTATAGCATAATTGTTCCTTTGGTAAGGATTTTTAATATTTAGTATTCCTAGAATTCATGTTAAAAGAGAACAGAGATTTCCTGTTTAACTTACTTTTGGTCTACATGCGTAGATTAAAGCTGGCATATACTCATTTAAGTGTAGAAGATACAAATAGGAGAATGAGAATGATGTTTTGTTGATGGAACCTTGCTGAGGAAGCTTGATGACTTTTAGTTGGTTCTTAGAAATTTGTCACATCAGCTTTTTTTCTTTCAGTCCCACATTCTCCACGCCTTGGCCCTAAGGTGGAAGCTATAGCCCATCTCATTATTGTTGCCAATGATGACGCATTTGGAACTCTGCAGCTGTCAGCACCAACTGTTCGAGTAGCAGAAAATCATGTTGGACCGATTATCAATGTGACTAGAAAAGGAGGAGCATTTGCAGATGTTTCTGTAAAGTTTAAAGCTGTGCCAATAACTGCAATGGCTGGTAAGAAATGACATCATAGGAGCGGTTGGGTATCTCATAGTGACGTGGCATGTATTCTTTATTAACAGTCATTCAAAGATAAAATTAGGAAATGACAAAAAATTTAGTAGAAAGCAAGAGTACACACACACACACACACACTCACTTTTAAAAAATATTTTATTTTTTTATGTGTATGAGTGTACTGCCTTTATATATGTAACAAGCAATGCTCGAGGAGGTTGGAAGAGGGCATTGAATTCTTCTGGAACTGAAGTTATAGACACTTGTTAGTTGCCACGTGGGTGCTGGGAACCGAACCTCGGTCCTTTTCAAGAGCAGCTAGTGCTCTTAACCACTGAGTCAACTTTCCAGCCCCTCCCACTTTTTTAAATTAAATTTTTTATTGAATATTGTGAATGTCATACAATATATTGTAATCATATTTAGATCCCTTCCCATATCTGTACCACCTTTACCACCTACTCCCCTACAAAGCCAGGTTTGTAACCCCAAATGCCCTACTGTGTGGGTTCATCCACTGGAGCTTGGTTAACCTACCAAGAGAGAGTCTCACCATGAAATGAGATTGACTCTGCTCCTCTCACAGCAGCTTTCATTTGCTAATGTAGTTCCTCAGGTAGGGTCGGGGGTTTCTTATTCACTTCTCCATGTCTCTGTTGGTATTTTGTCTGGCTTGAGCTTATGTGGGACTTGTGCATGCTGTCCCCTTTGCTCTGAGTTCATATGAGCTTCCCAGCTGTCTGGAAGACTATGTTTCCTGTGGTCATCCACCTTGTCTGGCTCTTAAAATCTCTCCACTTACTCTTCCATAGTGATCTCTGAGCCTTGGGAGGCAAAAGGCACAAACACTTTTTTTTGAGATGGCATTTCATGTAGCAAAAACTGGCCTCAAACTCACTATGAGCTGAGGATGACCTGGATCCTCCTGTCTCCACCTCCAGCATGTTAGTATTATAGGCATGTACCACCAGGGTGGGTTTATGTAGTATGTAGATCAAACCTAGGGCCTTGTGAATGCTAGACAAGCCCTCGACCAACTGAGCCCCAATACTTAGTACCATTTTAGCCTCGCTCTGCATCACTTATGTATCTGTGGCACTGAATTTGTTGAATTTTTGAAAAATGATGGTAAAATTACATATAAATTCAAAGTTCTGATGACTGAAATATGCATAATCTAAGGAAAAGAAAACTGTCATTTTCTGAAAGGGATTCATGTGTAGATGACCACTGAGGGAGACAAAATGAGCAGCCATAGATTTCATGACTTTTCTATAGTCTTGTTTCTGGAACCCTTTGTCTTATTCAGTCATTTGTTTATGAAGAACATGGAAAGCAATGTTTAACATTAGCTATTTTCTGTATAAGTGAAATGATTTCATTGTCAAATACAAACATTAGGACTCTACCTTCTTAGTTGTAGTGTTTGGCTTTTTAGGGGTGATTTGCCAAATACCCCTGATAGAACCTTTCTGGTGTTCCTTCATAGGAGTAGGAGTGTGAATGAGTGAGACTTCACACTTGATTTGTAAAATAAGTCATCTGAACACGATTCTTGCTTGAAAACCATAAAATAGGTTTATCTGGTTCCCAAGTGGTGTGTGTGTATGTGTGTGTGTGTGTGTGTGTGTGTGTTTGCATGTTTTGTGGTTAATAGCCCTTAAGATGTGTGGCTGCCTCTAGACAACCTTCTATATTGACAGGTGGTACAGTGATTTGCCAATGTTTGAAGAAATTAGCTTTGAGGATGCTTTAGGGAGCATCCCTCCTTTTCCTACTCGAAACCTCAGCAGCAGCTTTCAATCCAACTTTGTAGGAAACTCTGTGTCCAGCTATGTTAGTGAGGATGAGGAAAGACTTCTGTTACCAAACATACTTTTCTAGTTTCAAAAAGTGAAATTTTTCTTGTGTCAAAGAAATGTGGTTAACATCTCAAAATGTTTCTCCAAGCATATCTATAAGGTTTGAAAATAGTATTTCCCTAGTATGTGGAATGCTTATTTTGAAACAAGTCTTCCCATTTTTCTTTCTGTCTTTGCAGGTGAAGATTATAGTATAGCTTCATCAGATGTGGTCCTGCTGGAAGGGGAAACCAGTAAAGCTGTGCCAATATATGTCATTAATGACATCTCCCCTGAGCTGGAAGAAGTTTTTCTTGTGCAACTGCTGAACGAGACAACAGGAGGAGCCAAACTAGGGTCTTTGACAGAGGCAGTCATTATTATTGAGGCTTCTGATGATCCCTATGGAGTATTTGGTTAGAAAACAACTTTATCTCTTTTGCTCTCTAAGTCACAGATAATGACCTTTTTTCTTTATTTTTAGAGACTTAAGATTTATTTGACCAAATGTTCCTTTTTAAAATTTTTATTTATTATTTTTATTTTATGTGTGTGAGTATATTGCCTGCATGCATGTAAGTTTACCCATGTTGTGCAATGCCCATGGAGGTCAAATGAGGGCGTTGGATTCCCCTGGAAGTGGAGTAACAGAGGATTGGTAATCACCATGTGGGTGCTGGAAATTGAACTCTGGTCCCCTGCAAGAGCAACCAGTGCTCTTAACCGCTGAGTCATCTTTCTAACCCCCCCCAAGTATTCTTTTTATATGTATTTTTACTGATATATGAGACTCCTGTACAGAATAACTAGCAGAGATTAGTAGTTACTTAAAGAAAATAAATCACCTTTCAACATTGAGATAGAAGTCATAAACTAGTTGCTTTTATGCCATGTCTGGCTCTTAGATGTGTTCTGTGAATTTTTTTTTTCTCAGATGTTTGGAGATAAGGTCTTTCTACCTGTGATGACTAGGGCTCTCCTGGAACTTGTGATCCTCCTACCTTAGCCTCTTTAGTCCTGGAGTGATTGGCATATGTCATCATGCCTGACTTTTAGTTTTCTGTAATTGTTTTTTTTTTTTTGGACAGGGTTTCCCTGTAGCCACAGCTGGCCCAGAACTCACTATGTAGACCAGGCTGGCCATGAACTCACAGCTATCTGCCTGCCTCTGCTGTAATTCTTTTAAATCAATTAATTTGCAAAATTTCCACTCAAATTTGGATCGTTTGACTTTCTGGATAAGCAGGAAAATCTGGCAAAATTGCACCCCCTTCCTATATAGTATCACACAGGGGAGCAAAATAGTAACTATCTCTTTGACTCAGGCTGGCTATGTGCAGTCAGCTGTAATTCTCACTGGGTTTAATTTGATTCATGTGTGGCACAGGCCTGGCCCCTGTAGACATCTGCTTTATGATTTCTGCTTTTATCACAATAAAAAATTAGTGGGAAATTTGCAGTCCTGTCCAGCTTGTGTGACAGCACACTGTCATAGCTGCTTAGGGTTGCTGAAGGGGAGAATCTCCATTCTCTTAGTTGGTCCTAGGTTATCTCAGTTTCACTTTGTATCTGAATTCAACTCTTCTGTCTGCCCTTCAGGTTTTCAGATTACTAAATTTATTATAGAGGAACCTGAGTTTAACTCAGTGAAGGCAAACCTGCCAATAATTCGAAATTCTGGGACACTTGGCAATGTTACTGTTCAGTGGGTTGCCACCATTAATGGACAGCTTGCTACTGGCGACCTGCGAGTTGTCTCAGGTAATGTGACCTTTGCCCCTGGGGAAACCATTCAAACCTTGTTGTTAGAGGTCCTGGCTGACGACGTTCCGGAGATTGAAGAGGTGAGAGGACTGGGTAGTATAGAATGATCTGTAAACTGTGCCTTGTCTTATAGTAACTAGAGCAAAGGGCTAGAGGGCTGTTGCTGTGAGAATGCCAAATGAGTAATTTCTGTAGGACTCTCCAGAATGTCATTGTGAAGTCTAGTCTTAGAATAAATAGAAGCGTGCACACAGGACAGGTTGCTGGTTTATGATCTTTTGTGTGCTGTTACATTGCATTTTTCAATATTTTTATATTTTATACCCTTCTGAGTGTGAGCCAGTTGTAATTAAGTGTAGATTTGATTTTCTACCCATTCTTCTGTTCTTCATCTATTATAACAAATACAGCTCTGTTTTCCTGATATTTTTCATGATGAAGAATAATATGGCAAATAAAAATAGTATCAATTGAAAAGTTAACTCATCACTAACCTATCAGCCATTTAACTTTATTTTATGAAACTCACATATTATTGAAAGCTGGATCTCATATAATTTCTTCTAATAGCATTTTAGTAGTATTTTATAGAAATCTGTAAAATTTATTTTAAAGGCTAATTGTCATTATTGACTTCTAAAATATTGTTATTAATGTGTGTGAGATAGTTTTCTTCTTTCTAAAGTTAGATGGCAGCATACAATGAGTTTTTGAAGTTTTGTTATTAATTACTATTTAAGATAATGTGGGGAGTAGAACCAAACAATTAAATGGATATGCTATATTTTTCCTAGATAAGAAAGGTGCAGGTTATGTAACTCATGTTATTGGAAATTTAAACATAAACAAGAGTTTTAAAATGATACATATGATTTATAAGTAACTATCAAGAGATTTAAATAGCCTATGTCTATTCCTTATGTATTATTACATGTGCTCTCTTATTAAATGTTGATAATGGATTATTCTGTTACATGTTGGGTTTCAAAGTGTAATTGGGAAGGTTTCTTTGAATCCATTTATATTTCTTTGCATTTTGTTCTTAGGCGAAATGCTTTTTTTTCCCCTGCATCATTCTTATTTTAATTTCAGAACTGGGATGCTGTTAAGGAAGTTTTCACTGTATTTTTAGGTTATCCAAGTCCAACTAACTGATGCCTCTGGTGGAGGTTCAATTGGTTTAGACCGAGTGGCAAATATTGGTATTCCTGCCAATGATAACCCTTACGGTACAGTAGCATTTGTTCAGTCGGTTTATCGTGTTCAAGAACCTCTGGAGAGAAGTTCCTGTGCTAACATAACTGTCAGGAGAAGGTATATTTGATGGCTGTCGCATCTGTGGGAGTGGGACTATGGATTGCGGGATGGATCTTCCGTACCTAAACAACTTAGAGTCAGTGCTTTTTATCGATTGTAACTTATTTAATAGGTTATAATAACTTGTTGATTCAATTATGTGTATTGATAGACTTTATCATATTTATAAATATTGTTAATGAAATGAATAATGGCTTTTACATCACTGTGCTTTCTAAGTCCCCCCCCCCAAATTTATTGCTTTAATCTGTAGTCCATTAGAATTAGAACTTTAACACTGCTTGTTTTTAAATTAATAAACAGTTACTGCCTCGAGGGGTAGATTTGTAGGATCTGCTTTTCCTTCCTTCCTTCCTTCCTTCCTTCCTTCCTTCCTTCCTTCCTTCCTTCCTTCCTCCCTCCCTCCCTCCCTCCTTCCTTCCTTCTTTTTTATTTTATATTTATGGTATGTTTTGCCTGCACATGTGTAAGTTCACTCATGTCATGAAATGTCCATGGAGGCCCGAAGACAGTGTTGAATCACCTGGATTTGGAGTTATAGATGGTTGTTAGCCATCATGTGAGTGCTGTGAACTGAACTCGGGTCCTTTGCAAGAACAGTCATTACTCTTAACCTCTGAGCGATATCTCCAATCCCTTGTATTTCTTTTGTAGGGAGCATAGTGTTCACCTAGTTCCTTCAGAAATAGAGTATGTAGGGTTGAGGGACTTTGTGGCAAAATAGTCACATTTCTTTCTAAATGTGCTCATGTTGTTGTTATTGTTATTTTGTTTCAGTGAAATCTACTAGTAAAAGTTTTGTAATTCTGTTTGGAAATTGTGAAATGGATACCACTTACCTACCTTGCACAATGTTTTCATAGCTTGATTAAAAGTTAGCTGTGCTGGGCATGGTGGTGCACGCCTTTAATCCCAGCACTCAGGAGGCAGAGGCAGGCAGATCTCTGTGAGTTCAAGGCCAGCCTGGTCTACATAGTGAGTTCCAGGACAGCTGGGACTACAGGGAGACCCTGTCTCAAAAAGATCAAAAAAAAAAAAAAATTAGCTGTGTTTGGTTGCAAACAAGGAAGCTTAGCTTGTATTAGGCAAGGCTGAAAGACAATATGATTAAGAAATATGGTTGTGTTTGTACTCATGCTTCAAACATGACCAGAAATTATTATTCAAAACTATAGACCTTCTACTGCTCTTATCTGTGCATAACTCACAAATCACTCTGAGTGTTTAACCTGTCTTTCAATTATCCCTCCACCTTTTAGCGGAGGACACTTTGGTCGGCTCTTGCTGTTCTACAGTACTTCAGATATTGATGTAGTGGCTCTTGCAGTTGAGGAAGGTCAAGATTTATTGTCCTACTATGAATCACCAACTCAAGTGGAGCCCAACCCGCTTTGGAGAACTTGGGTGAACGTCTCCGCAGTGGGGGAACTGCAACAGACGTGTGCCACCTTGTGCCTCAAAGAACACGCTTGCTCAGCGTTTTCAATTTTCAGTGCTTCTGAAGAAGGTCCACAGTGCTTTTGGATGACATCATGGGTCAACCTAACTGTCAACAGCTCAAATTTCTGGACCTACAAGAAAAACATGACTAGGGTAGCATCTCTTTTTAGTGGTCAGGCAGTTGCTGGTAGTGACTATGAGCCTGTGACAAGGCAGTGGGCCCTGATGCTGGAAGGTGATGAGTTTGTGAATCTCACGATTTCTGTACTTCCTGATGATTTTCCAGAGATCGATGAAAGTTTCCTGATTTCTCTCCTTGAAGTTCACCTCCTGAACGTCACAGCCAGTTGGAAAAATCAGCCGACCATAGGACAGCCAAATACTTCTGCGGTTCTCATAGCCCTGAATGGTGATGCCTTTGGAGTGTTCATTATCTACAGTGTTAGTCCCAACACCTCAGAAGATGGCTTATCTGTGGAAGTGCAGGAGCAGCCACAAACCTCAGTGGAGCTGGTGATCCACAGGACAGGAGGCAGCTTAGGGCAGGTGATGGCTGAATGGCGTGTTGTTGGTGGAACAGCTACTGAGGGTTTAGATTTTATAGGTGCTGGAGACATTCTTACTTTTGCTGAAGGTGAGTCATAGAACAAATAGATTTCAGTGCTTCTTTGTAATCAGTTGTCATATTAACATTTTGTTGTTGTTGTTTTGATACAGGGTCTCCCTGTTTCCCCAGGTGGCCTAGAACTTGCTAGGTAGACCAGGCTGGCCTGGATCTCATGGAGATCTGCTTGCCTCTACCTCCCACGTGCTGGGATAAAAGGTGTTTGCCACCACGCCCAGCTTAGAAACTATAGTTTTAACCCTACAGTTTTTTGATTGAAAAAGTTATATGTGTATTCATAAGAACCTCAGAATATATAGTAGAATAAACATTAATAATTCCATGCCTTAGACAGCTTATTGCATTTGTTTGTATTTTAAAAATTTTAATGCTTTTATACATGATTATTGTTTTTGCATGATTTCCATCTCTCCCAGTCCCCTACTAACTCCTCCTCCTGTATCCCCCCCACTCCCTCTCAATTTCTTGCCCTCGTCTTTATTATTGTTACACACACACACACACACACACACACACACACACACACACACGCACACAGAGTTCACTCATTGATATTCCTGTGTAGGGCTACCCACTTAGAGTTAGATATCCTCTTAGGGAGCTAGTCTTGGAGAAAACTGATTCTCCCTTTCCAGCATCCATCGGTTGCCTGTAGTTCTTCATCTTGAGGTTAGATCCTGTGAGATTTTCCCCATTCACCTTGGCATGACAACTTGTTTTGTCATTATGCAAATCTTCTTAGACTAACATACTGTGGAGATTTCACTGATGCAGCTTCCCTATCACGTCTAGAATGCATTAACTAGTAGCAAGTATCTTGTTCCTGTCTTTTAGATTCTTTCCACCCCTTGTTCTATAATGTTCTCTGAGCTTTAGGTGTAGAGGTTGCATTGTAGATGTGTCACTTAGGGCTGGACACCTCACAGCTACTTATTCTCTACATTTGACTAGCTGTGGAGCTTTGTAATAGTCTCCATCTGTTGCAGGAAGCTTCTTTGATGAATGGTGAGAGGCATACTTTTCTGTAAATATAAAGGTACATATTTAGAAAGGAGTAAGAAATTACCTTGATCTAGGGAAGTGAGAGAAGTACGTTTTTCTCCAGGGTCTATGACCTCTCCTGTTATGTGTACTTGGCTATGTTTACAGTACCACACATGATTTCCCTACCGTTGAGCAGGCCTTAAGTCCAGTTAGACAGCTGTTGATTACCCTCAGGATAAAAGTGTTACTTCTGTACCAATAGCAATAGCTTACTGGGTTAGTCATTGTGGTTCATAGGCTTTTCAGTGGGTAGGATCATCGATTGATTTTCTCCCTTGGCAACTTGCATAGTATGGTCTGATACTATGAGAGTTGGTCTTCAGGAAGGAGGCTTCCAGGTCAGTTCCACCTCAGTTGCTACAAGTTCTGGGTCTGAAGTATGTCCTATCTTCAGTAATAGGGTTTTACCTTCAAGGTTGGTGTCAAGGAGGCATTTAAGGGCTGTGGCAACAGCCTGTGTTATTTTCTGAGTCTCTGGACTACCCTGACCAATAATGCAAAGCCCATCCCTGGCACTATGATTTTGGCTATATAGCCATCAGCTATGCACCTGCACTCACATTTATTTTATGTGTGTAGTACTTAATAAGCCTACTGAAAAGTACACATGTAATATAAATCTGTATTTTTAATTCATACATTAAATATATATATATACATACATATAATGTACTTAAAATATCTAATAAGCACTGTATTTAAGAATTAAAAATTT